TGAATAAAATGGCTCAAACCTATGATCCCTGGACCCGCCCTGTCTCATTCACACCACATGGTGACTGAAGAAGGTTGAACTTTTACAACATTTTGATATATTCAGAATATTATTGAACACCACACAGACTTGAAAGACTACTTATAATGAACTGTAAGGTACTGCAGTAAAATCAGAATCCAGTAGCTTCATTTATATTTTGTTTTCAAATCATCTCGTCTTAACTGCTAAATCAAACATGTGGCAGACAGTGCTTGACGCAGGATGGACAAGTAATTGGAAAAGAACTAAGAGGAAAAAGCTTAAGACTAGAAAACAATGGAAATAGGCAATTGTGCAAATCGAGGATGGTGAGCAACTGGTAGAAATACTTCAGCAACCAATCAGAGAACAGGATGCAGGCGAGGAGTGGTGAGGAAACTACTGGCAGACAAGTCAGGGAGGTGAGAGTAACAAATTGTATAATGACTGAAGAGTTAGGACATGAAAACAGAACAACCAGACTGAATGGAGGAAGATAGCAGACATTTTAAATACTATTTGCAGTATTTGTATTTTATCCAAATAAATTAGAAAAAGTCAGTCCATTAATTGTTCTCTTTAACAAATTCTTATGAAATATTTTGACTCCCTTTTCTTTCTTTCTTTTTTGTTTTTACTTCAGTTGGTGATCATCAGCATAAAAGTAAGTAAAAAATTAAATGGAAGAACAACATATCTTTATCTTCATGCATTTTCAAAAGCACAGACGCAAACAAACACATTTCTGTTTTAACAATGGAACAATGCGGTTTTCGTCCTGGTTGTAGAACACTGGACCAGTGCTCTTTATCCTCTCAACGATACTTGAGTGTGCATGGGAGTTTGCCTAACCAATCTGCATGTGTTTTGTGGACTTGGAGAAGGCATTCGACCGTGTCCCTCTGAGTGTCGTGTGCCTGTGGGGGATGCTTTGGGAGTATGGGGTGTCTGGCCCATTATTACGGGCCATTCGATCCATATGAAACTGCTGCAAGAGCTTGCTCCTCATAGCCGGTAATAAGTCGGACTCGTTCCTGGTGGGTGATGGGCTCCACCAGGACTCCCTTTGTCACCGATTCTGTTTGTAAATTTTATGGACAGAATTTCTAGGCTTAGCCAAGTGGCGAAAGGCTTTCACTTGGGTGATGGCCTCCAGATCGCGCTGGAACGGTTCGTAGCCAAGAGTGAAGCGGTGGGAATGAGGATTAGCACCTCCAAATCTGAGGCCATGGTCCAATCTACATGTGGTTTGTGGACTGTTGGTTTGTGGACTGAAAATAAAAAAAAAAAGAGTATGCATATATATATATATATATATATATATATATGTGTGTGTTTTTTTGGGTTTTTTTTGAAACCATGAATTTTAATTTCTGGGTGAGGATACAGTTCCAACATTAATATTCAAAGTTGCATCTTTTTGTGATTTTAATTATAGTTTTAAATGACTCACTCATTTTAAACACTTGTAATGTGCTCTAAGTCAGAGTGTAAAAAGTTGCATTTTTAAAAACTTTACATTTTAACAATGTTAGGTTTATATTGTTGATTGTCATTTATGCTTAGAAATATTTAACCATATATGCTTAGAGGTGTATAATC